TTTGCAGTATACCAGTTGGCATCCAAGGCCATAGAACCTGGTCTGTCCTGCTATTTATCCATAGCTGGGGAGTGAAGAAGATTCATACTCTTTCCCAAGGGTATTAGCACATAAGTGAATGTAATGGATTTGACTGGAATTTAAACTCAGCTCTCAGATTCCTCAATCGAGCTGCTATCCATTATGTCATCATAATGCAAACTCACAGATGACATCAATGCTTATTATGAATGCCATGGTTTTTCTATCTTATGGCTGAATTTTCACAAAGCAAATATAATTTATTTTCTATGCAAACACAATGAATTTAACACTAAAACTTTAACAGAAACATTGATTATATATAGCCACATTTTAAATTTAAATTAAAAAAACAAGAAATATTTATTAAAATATGCTTTTAAAAATTTTTATGCAAATTAAAAACTATTACTGCTAATGTTGTAAAGCTATTATTGTATACCATATTTGCTTATGAATATGACTTGAATATAATATAACCTCTGGTACAGCCAGCCCTATGTAAACTTATTTTTGAAAAGTCGTACAATATTATCCATTAAAATCTCAATGTTATACCAGTATCAGGGAGAAAATTTCCAAGGTCCAGAACTCAGATTATTTTAAGGCCCCCTTGTCGAAAAAGGACATACTGGAACAAACAATCTCGATCTAGCATGTTTTACAAGACTTTTTAAAGAGCGTGTCTTAATTGGCAAGCCTTGCGATTGAGTGGGATTTGGCACAAGAATTAGACTTTGAGGAACACGTCATGTGTTTTGCTTCAATGAAAGTTCAAAAAATGTACTTTTAAGCTGCTTTAGAACTGGTTTCAGTATATGTATTTTTTCAATAAAATACTGATTCATAATTTTGCTCTCTACTTTTTGTAAAGAAGATGCTCCCCAACCCCTAAAGGTATTTTTTTGAGGCCCCTCAGGTTTTGAGGCATGGCACATTTGTGTCAGCTGTCCCCCATCTCACTGCCACTGTGTTGTACATATATTTAACTGAAATATTTCATTTTTCATGATATTAAAGAATAGAAATGAACCAGATGTTTAGCCATTGAATGTTATTTCCAATTTTAAAGGTGCAAATTAAGATAATGCTGAGTAATACATTTTAAGGTGTTAATTAATCTATCATACTTTCTGGTTGATATGACTTGGTTATACTTTTCTTTATTAATAATCTGAAAATAAAAAAAAACATTGTCTTTCATTAAGCTTGAAGAGAACAATAAATATTGCCGACATATCAAATAGCTTTTGTAAACAATTGTTATCAACACCTGCCTACTTTGTGTTTTATTGTCTATTTGTTCTAATTAAGTATATTTGCAATTCTGCTAAATAAGAGGTTTTTTAGCAGTGTAAAAGTTTCTGAAAATATGTAGAGTAAAAAAAGACACAAAGTAAAACACAGATGTAAGGGGGAAATTATTATGTCACACCACAATAGGCTCTTGTGTTATTTTCTCTTAAGTGTTACTGTCCTTTTCTCACCTCATCACTTGGATATCAATGATAAATAAATGAAGAGAGCAGAATATCCAGAATCGACACATGTAAGTAGAATTTCACTTATTTTGTATATTGTGCATTATAATAAGACAGTTTTATCACTTGTTTGTATTTGTACTGTTTGTAAATTTTATCACTTGTCTTATCTTAAGTGCTACTGTCCTTTTCTCACCTCATCACTTGAATATCAACGAAATACAAAAAAGGAGAGTAGAGTATATAAAATCAACACACGTAAGTAGAATTTCACTTATTTTGTATTTTTTTATCACTTCTTAGACTATTTTCAAATTGTTATTTTATGTTTGTTAAAGTTGGATTTGAAGCATAAATCAAGTTTTCAGAGTAGTTTCTGAATTTTAGTTACAATTTATCCCACCATTTTACATTTTACTCCACTGTTACTTTTCACTCCACTGGTGGGGTAAAAAATAACATTTTGCAATGTTAATTTTTTCACATTAACTCCTTAAATTGAAATGACATACAGATTATTGCCTCATCATAATGTCCATTTAACTTTAATATTCATCTACAGCTTAAATAACTGTGTCTGTCTTTAATTATATGGTCAGTATGGTCATTTGAAAAAAAAAAAAAGTTGTTACTGTGTGCCCCCTCTTTGCCCTCAGTCAATTATGTGCCATGCATGATACACACTTAGGCAATCATGTATCTTTTGATACATGACCGATGAGGTAGATTTTTTTCCCTGCAGTAGGTTGCCATTTCTTTCTGCGGTAGACCAGTTGCCATCCAAGGCTATAGAACCCAGTCTGTCCTGCTATTTACCCATTTACCCATAGCTGGTGGGAGAAGAAGAGGATTTTATACCTTTCCCAAGGTTATTAGCACATAAGTGAATGTAATGGATTTGGCTGGAATTAGAACTCTGCTCTACGATTCCTCAATCTGAGCCGCTATCCATTACTCCACTTTACCCTAATTGTATATAATATGATTCCCCCCTTTCTTGCCTTTGATTTTCATTCAAAATCTCTGGTATCATACACAAGAAGATATGGTATACAACACACAGATAAGCAATCATTATGTGTAAACAATTCAGGCTGTTTTGTTCCACTGATATAAGATGACGATACACAGACATGATTTACCCTTACACGTATTTATAAAAGATTATACATTGATTTAGTCACACTAGTAATGTAGACATGCTATAGGATAGCAATAGATAAGGTTGCTGTTGGTCACCAGTTTCTAGTGGGAAATGTTACAACTTGCTGACAATGGGGGATGAAGATTTTCAAAATAAATTAATTCAACAATGGGGAGAATATTTTCAATAAATATATATTTATAATGAACAACATAGCTCACAAAAGAAGAAAAAAGGGAAAATTATTTTCATGGCTATAGAGAAAGCTCATAAAAAAGTAAAAAAAAAAAAATATGTATATAATGCATGGTTGTGATAAATAAAGTTGACCTGCCCTGGGAATATCTCCCCAGAAATGGAGAGTCTCATTATTGCTGCTACTTCATCTTGAAGCAAAAACAGAAGGAGAGGGTTTATGTCCTTTTCTTTCATAATCTTGAATAGAATGTCACCAACTGGGCATCTATAGCAAACGGTTTGTGCAGGTTACAACAGTCGCCAAGACACCCCTACCATACGAACATGCACAAACAACCAAAAGAGCTCCTTGGCACTGAAATATAGCAGTTTATCCAGACACCGGAGATACCCATGATTGGTTAGATCAACATTTTCACATCCTGCCAAGTTCTATATAAACGATAATCTGGCTGAGGTTTTCTGTTCAACTGAGAATACATGCAACCCTGGTCATTTTGTTGGATGAGAAAAGTGACTACTTACATTGCTGCAAGGCGTGTCCTGGCAGACAAGGGTGGGATAATCTCCAGACACTCATATCTTTATCTTGGTTGTAGTCAGAGGATACAACAGCAGAAATGTGGCGACAATGGCAAAAACTAAGATAAAGTCAAATGTCAGAGAGAAAAATTGATTGAATGTTTTTCTTTCACATCATCTCTGTTTCTCCCCTTATTTCTCCATTGTTCTTTATTGACATTGAAGCAAAAATACACAGCCAATCACAAAAGTGAAACTTGGTAAATGTACCAACTGACTTTTATATAATTGAATTTAATCAACTCGACAGATATCAGTCAACCAAAAATATGAGTTTAATTGAATCTTGGGTCAGTTTTTTTATCCTATTCTATTAGCATAGAACTTATGGTTACATGTAACCATTTCAACTATAAAATGATGAGAGCTTGCCATCAAACTAGTCAGTCAGTTATGTGCCATGCACGATACACGCTTAGGCAATTATGTATCTTTTGATACATGACTGACGAGGCAGATTTTTCCCCGCAGTAGCTTGCCATTTCTTTCTGCAGTAGACCAGTTTTTTTTTGTTTTTTGTTTTTTTTTAAGCGTCTCACCCCAAGCAAGGCGGGAAGCCACTAGGACGCAAGGGGTTACAGAAAATTTGGAGCAAGATCAGATAGGAGTGGTAGAAGAAAGGATGAGGAGAAGGGTAGTGGATAGGTCAAGGCAACTGGAGATGTCTATTGACATTACATTTGAATAGCTGGAGATTATAGCTCTCAGGGAAACTAGAATAGGGAAGGGAGTTCCACAGGCGAGAGATGTGAGACATGAAGCTATTGGAGTAGAAGAGGCGGCTGCCACAAAAGGCTATAGAATATGGTCTGCCCTGCTATTTACCCATAGCTGGGGAGGGGAGAAAAAGAGTATTCATATGTTTCCCAAGGATATTAGACTGTGAATCTAATGGATTCGACTGGAATTTGAACTCAGTTCTCCGACTCCTCAATCTGACTTGCTATCCATTATTCCACCATGCCTCCTCCCTTAAATTAGTACTTCCTCTGCTCAAACTAGTATTGTGCTTACATTCATAAAGCCTAGTTACCAATGAGGAAAGCTCATCAGAACAATTACCATAAAAAAATTTATAGAAAGGGCACAAGGAAGATATGTTATAGTGATGGGAAAGTGATTGAAGCTGAGATGCTAGGTCACAGACCAGATGTGGCAGCAATATTCAATGCTTGGTAGACTTTCAATGATCTAAGGTATAAAAAAAATCTTCTTACCCTCATTTCTATCTAGCCTTGTGTCAAACTTAGGTGAGTGCATGTGTTTGGCAAGACTATTTGATGAATAATCAGTAGGTAGAGTATGTCTGCTCACCCAATTTCATGTACTATCCTCAAATTTTCTAAGCATACTTATTGGGTTCATTATTTAATTTGTTCATCTTTTTCTGATATGGATTTACCTTTTATAGTAACAATTACCATTTGTAACTGTTCAGTGTAAGACAATAATTTCTCTTTTTACTGATATTGGGACATGAAAAATATTTGTACATTTTGAAAAAGCAATTTCACTCAATAATTTTCTCCAAATTTACTAGGGACATATGAAAACGTATTTCACCTTAGGCTACATCAGATTGAAACATTGGTTTCCATATGATTACTGAAATTAAGCAACAGTGAACCTGGTCAGTACATAGATGGGTGACCTCATGGGAATAGCAGGTGCTGTAAGTATGGATGTGCAGGTGATGTAATGGATAATGGCTAAAAAATTTCAATTGTAGACCCAAATTCTGTTGGGTTTGTTATATTCACTTACATGCAAATACCCTTGGGAACAGTATGAGTCCATGTCTTCTTCCCCAGCCATGGGTTAATTAGTAACACTTTTATCACTAAACCATTATTATAAAAAAAAAAAAACATTTTACACTCTAAAAATATTTCCTGGGTTTAAATATCTTGCAAGCCATTGATAAACCATAAACTAATCAATTAAAATATTCTCTAAATGTCTGTGCATTTACTGTAGATTCAAACAACATCTGTAGACATGACCCATGTCACTGAAAATGAACCTTGTGAATGCTGACAATAATAAATTTTTAATTGACAAAGACTGTAAAATAGACATTTCTTAGTTATACATTTGTTTCAACTTTGTATACAAAATTTGTAGCAGCCCTGAGCAATTTATCTTGGCTTTGAACAATGCTAGTATAATTATCAGAAATATGGCGGGTTGTTGGTTATTCAAACAAGACAGGTTGGTAGTCTTTTGTTTGGATAATTGATTGTTCAAATAAATGAGCTATTGGAAAAAAAAAAAAAAAAAAGAGAGAAAGAAACCATACTGAACTGAAATCACTCTCCACAACTTCCTATCCTTCGTATCTCTTAGAAATGTTTGCCTTTTTACTATCCTTCCCAGTACAGGTTCTGCCATCCATTTACACAGGGCTTTTAGGAACATGCTCATGGCTCTCCACAACTTCCTATCCTTTGTATCTCTTAGCAATGTTTGTCTTTTTACTATCCTTCCCAGTACAGGTTCTGCCATCCATTTACACAGGGCTTTTAGGAACATGCTCATGGCTCTCCACAACTTCCTATCCTTTTTGTATCTCTTAGCAATGTTTGTCTTTTTTTATCCTTCCCAGTACAGGTTCTGCCATCCATTTACACAGGGCTTTTAGGAACATGCTCATGGCTCTCCACAACTTCCTATCTTTCGTATCTCTTAGCAATGTTTGTCTTTTTTACTATCCTTCCCAGTACAGGTTCTGCCATCCATTTACACAGGGCTTTTAGGAACATGCTCATCTCCACAACTTCCTATCCTTCATATCTCTTAGAAATGTTTGTCTTTTACTATCCTTCCCAGTACAGGTTCTGCCATCCATTTTACACAGGGCTTTTAGGAACATGCTCATGGCTCTCCACAACTTCCTATCCTTTGTATCTCTTAGCAATGTTTGTCTTTTTTTACTATCCTTCCCAGTACAGGTTCTGCCATCCATTTACACAGGGCTTTTAGGAACATGCTCATGGCTCTCCACAACTTCCTATCCTTCGTATCTCTTAGAAATGTTTGTCTTTTACTATCCTTCCCAGTACAGGTTCTGCCATCCATTTACACAGGGCTTTTAGGAACATGCTCATGGCTCTCCACAACTTCCTATCTTTAGTATCTCTTAGGTTTGTCTTTTTACTATCCTTCCCAGTACAGGTTCTGCCATCCATTTACACAGGGCTTTTGGAACATGCTCATGGCTCTCCACAACTTCCTATCCTTCTTATCTCTTAGAAATGTTTGTCTTTTTACTATCCTTCCCAGTACAGGTTCTGCCATCCATTTACACAGGGCTTTTTGCTCATGGCTCTCCACAACTTCCTATCCTTTGTATCTCTTAGCAATGTTTGTCTTTTTACTATCCTTCCCAGTACAGGTTCTGCCATCCATTTACACAGGGCTTTTAGGAACATGCTCATGGCTCTCCACAACTTCCTATCCTTCGTATCTCTTAGAAATGTTTGTCTTTTTACTATCCTTCCCAGTACAGGTTCTGCCATCCATTTACACAGGGCTTTTAGGAACATGCTCATGGCTCTCCACAACTTCCTATCCTTTGTATCTCTTAGAAATGTTTGTCTTTTACTATCCTTCCCAGTACAGGTTCTGCCATCCATTTACACAGGGCTTTTAGGAACATGCTCATGGCTCTCCCAACTTCCTATCCTTTGTATCTCTTAGAAATGTTTGTCTTTTTACTATCCTTCCCAGTACAGGTTCTGCCATCCATTTACACAGGGCTTTTAGGAACATGCTCATGGCTCTCCACAACTTCCTATCCTTTGTATCTCTTAGCAATGTTTGTCTTTTTACTATCCTTCCCAGTACAGGTTCTGCCATCAATTTACACAAGCTTGTTAGGTAGCTTCCCCACCACTCCCTCCACTGTCCCTTTCACTTTCAGTTAGTCCTGTGAGAGTCAAATTTTAAATTTTTCTTTTCTCAATATATGTCTCAGTAATTTCAAAAGTGTCTTTCTGATTTTAAGTTTGTTGATTGATTTGTTTTTTTTATGGCTTATCAACCCATAGCAGAATATTTTAAGTCAAAACCTATTCTGGATTGTAGGAGGTTGCTTACAGTACAGTATTACCAAGCGGTCCTCCCTCTAAGTACTGACTGAACTTGATACTACTTAACTTCAGTGATTAAGCAATAACCAGTGTTTTCAGCATAATTTGACTGTAGGCAAATAGTAACTATAAAGTTTCTTTTTTTGTTTTAAACTTCCTACATCTTTACAAGCTCTCTCAATGGTATTCTTGGCATGCTTCTATAGAACCAGATCCCTGCTGCCTCAGGTTTCCTTTTCATCCAAGGGACTAAACTCACAATGAATCATCAAATTCATGAAGCAGCTCTTCTTTAATCCAGTAGGATGTTGCCTTCACCTGATGAAGACTAGAGGGCACAACAGCTGAAATGTTGTGATATCAATAACATGGATGAGGATAATAGTCTGAATGTAAATAATGAAAACTCCTCAACCCAGAAATTTGGGCAGAAATAACATCTTCAGCTTTCTTCCATTTTTTGATGTAATAAATTAATAGACCTGCTTGGTGGATGTTTCTCATCAGTGGAAAGTGTTTTGAGGATTTTCAAGTCAAGTACACTCATTTTTTATCATTTCACTCCAAGTAAGGCAATAAAGTCACAAAGACACATGAAAGAATCTAAGAAAAAATCATTATTAAGGAGAGAGGACAATAAAAGAAGAGGTTTCAGGGACATAGAGGATGACAATTGATGTTTCATTTAAATATTTGAAGATCAAAGTAGACTTGAAAGCAAGAAGCTAGAAGAGTTCCACAGGTGAGAAGTGTGAAAGAAGAAACTATTAGCATAAAACTTACGATTACATCTGACCATTTCAACTATAAAATGATGAGACCTTGTCACCAAACTAGTACTGTGCTTAAATTCATAAAGTCTAGGTACCAAAGAGGAAAGCACATCAGAACAAATACCATGAAAAAAATTTATAGAAAAGGCACAGGGAAGCTATGTAACAGCAATGGGAAAGTGACTGAAGTCGAGATGCCAAGTCAGGACCAATAACATTGCAGATTCTTCAGATTTTGTCAAGAATCTTTAAATAATTAGCAGAAGTACCAAACCAGGTGTGGCAGCAATATTCAATGCTTGGTAAACTTCCCCTGTTTTTAATACTTTACTTAGTTTTTGGAAGGCATTTTTTGCTATTCCAAAGTGCACCTTTAGATTTCAGTGTCCCATTTTCTGTCATTTGTTAACACACTTCTGATGTTTAAATTTCTGTACTTGTTGCTTCCATTCAGTTAATAAAATCACAGAATTCAGCTTAAAAATTCATATTTTATTTTACAAATTGAATTATTTACCATTTAAATAATGAAAATATAGAATTGAAAATTTAAGGAACCATAAGATAAATATAAAAAACAACATAAGTATACTTACTGAACATTTATTTTGTTACAGACACAAAGTTCATGTAAATAAAGTTCACTGGGTTAGTGATCGTTCATTTTTTTTTTATAATTTCTTTTTTTTTTTTTCCTGCTAAAATTATTTCAAAACTCAGATCAGGCTAACTGATCACTTCCAAAGAAAACAGCAAAAAAATTCCACCATTTGTTACAAATACATACTTGAAATTATAGAAAGATATGTACTTGAAACTCAAAGAATTAATGAATACACCAGTGGAAATTTAACCATGTTTTGATATACTTCAACATTCTTTTTATTTTTGGGTTTCAACACTGTTTACAAGTAGATAACTGAGAACAAACCAATCAATGCATTTTTGTTCGCACATGTGAAAACCTATAAAGTATATCATTTGTAACAAATATGAAGTCAGAGTTAATGAAGATGCTACTACAGATTTTAACATTTCTTTTTGTGTGTATGTGTTACAATTATTTCAATAGAGTTTCAAGTGATCAATCGTCATCAAGACAAGCAACCAATTTCTCTTCACAGACATATGAGAAATAGTAAGAAATCAATAAATAACATCACTTGTAGCAGATTTGTATTTGGGATAAATTCTTAAAATTTAAATATTTATGGATTTTGAAATTTTGTTGGATATTTCAAAATTCAGATAAACACGTACCAGTTCCCCATCAGTTGAAATGTTGATGGTAATATCAGTGGTTTCCTTATAAAGAAACATTTGGCATTCACTGACTGAGCAGCTAGTGCTACTTTCAGTTGAAGTTTATAAAATCTTTCTATTAAAATAGTATTGCAGGAAAATAAGTTTCTCAAGTCCACTGTTATCACTCTTTCCATTATTGATGAGGTTTTCCTTACTAACCTTTTGTTTGAAGTAATGCAGAACATCAATATCTTATGTCATTATTTTCTCTTTGAGTTACATATGCTATACATTTTTGTTGTTGCTGCTGTTGGAAGTCCTCAGGTGATCTGGTTTCTGTTATCTGGTACAGTCCTTTGGTTGCGATACTGTCATGCTGGTCTACAAGGTTCAAAGAAGGATGGTTCCTGCTAAGAGCTACATGCTTCACTCAAAGACATTTTAATTATTGATCTGAGGAAATATATGTATGCAGCTGACAGTTTAGATATTTCTGAACAGATTTGGCGCCATGCTTGACATCCACTTGTAAGTCTTGATCTGACAAGATTATTTAAGAACATGATT